TAAAGTGGCTCAATCATAATGATTGATGAATATTAATTTTTGTAATAGACATAATTAATCATAAATTAATTACTATCTAATTTAATATTCATATTATGTAAAGGTTGGTAGCTACCAAAGTGGCCTAACCATAATAGTTGATGAATATTAATTTTAGTAGTAAACATAATTGCAATATTTTATGAATTATGAAACTTATAATTTTTTATGATATTCATGAATATTGATTTTATTTAATTATGAGAAATAATTCCTCAAAGGGAATTGATTTTCAAGTGATTAAATAAAAATCAAAGGGTCGTATGTATTTTTTTTTAATTAGGTAAATATAGGATATCCAAAGGTAACTTATTTGTTTAATTAAATAATGCATCTTCAATAAAGGTATACATATAAATACATGTAAGCATCATTATTAATATTTTATAGTTGCCACCCAAAGGGGTACTATAGTTATACATTGTATTTATATTTTTAAATTATACATACGTGTTGTTAACTCAAAGCATTATTGTTGTTAAGATTTTATCTTATTATATTTGTTTTATTACATCCCTTAATACGCATGCTACATCTGTTCTGATTCTCAATATGACTAACTTCTCATAATGAAATGAGTAAGTAAAGTTCAAAATTTAGATGTGTTAAATCTTAATTTAACATTTTAAATTGAAACTTACTGTTATTACTGATAAAAACAGTGAGGAAGAAAAGATTCTCCATAAAGCTTGGGAGAGATCGAACAGATTAAGCATTATGATTATGCGAATAATTGTTCCTCATAGTGATAGTGCTAAGGAATATTTGATTATAAAAATGTTTTCGTGTTGTAGATAAATATCTAAAACGAAAATTATTAATTGATATAACTATTATGGATTTTTTGTTGGTACTCGTACCATGTATGATCGTATTTTTAGATGACTAATGTTGCTGCAAAATTGAGAACCTTATAGATAATTGTGAATGAGAATTTTCTTATTCAATTTATTCTCAATTTCTTGTCTATTCAGTATGGGCATTTCAAATTAACACTATTAAGACAAGTGAAAAGTGATTTAATTGACCATTATGTTAATTTAGGAGGAGACAAAGCTTAAGCAACAGGTAATCATTATGTTTATCTGATGATTCAAGAAGTTAGAAAGAAATTTGGGAATAAGTCAGAAAATGCAACAAGTGAGCAATACCCAAAATTAAAAGATTTAGGTCAATCTACTAAAAGAAAGTAATGTAATAATGAAAAAGTGTCATTAATGTATTGAACACTTTTAGAAAGATTACATGACATATAAAGAATGATTCGAAAAAGAAAAGTACGCTTTTGGCTTTTGTATATTGTGAATTACTTGTTGAAATTCTTTTTAATACATGATAGGTTGACTTAAGTACTAATATTTATGTTTCTAATAGATGCAAGAATTTTTTATGGCCTAAACCACAAATTCAAATAAGAATTTCTTATTTATGATAATTGGGAAAAAGTTTTGTTTACACCATTATGACATTATGTTTAATGTTAGACAATGGATTTTATTTAAATTATTTTAAAAAATTTATGTTTATTCAATTTCCCATAATTTGAGTTTATTTCAAAAACTTTATGTTAATGGTTTTTCATTTAAATTTGGTAATGATATTTATTTAAGAAATTATAATTTGTGAGTTATGGTATTATTGTTGATGATTTCTGTAAATTCAAATTTGATGGTTTATTTATTAAAATCCTTTTAATCTTGTATCATAATGTTAGAATTAAGCGTAGCTCAATTAATAGAAAATTTATCTTTGGCATAAAAGACTAGGTCAATATCTAGTGAAAGGTTAGGAAAATTAGTAAAGGATGTGATTTATTTGAATCTAAACTTTACTGATTTTGATGTGTGTGTAGATTGTATTAAGGGTAGACAAACTCAACGCACAAAGAAATGAGCCACAATAAGTACATAGCTTCTTGAAATTATTTATAGACCTTCTGATGTTCCATCTTTTGGAGGAGAAAAGTATTTTATCGCCTTTATAGTTGATTTTTCACGTTATGGATATATCTATTTGTTGTATGAAAAATCTCAAGCAATGGGTACCCTTGAAGTATACATAAATGAGGTTGAAAAACAACTAGATAGAAAATGAAAATCATAAGGTCATATAGAGGTGGTGAATATTATGTAAAGTATGATGAAACAGGTTAATATTCTAACCGTTTGTTAAACTCCTTGAAATGTATGCCATTTGTGTTCAATACACTTTGCTATACATGCCACAGCAGAAGCGTGTAGCTGTAAGGCGTAATCGTACTCTTATGGAATTGGTTAGGAGTATGTTAAGTAATTCCTCGTTACCCATAACGTTGTGGATATTAAGTAATCTAAAGGGTACAAGTTTTACTATCCGAAACATAGTACGATAATTATTGAAACCGATAATATCAGATTGATTAAGAATGGTGAAATCAGTGGGAGTGATAAAAAATAAGAATTTGATCATTTCAGAAGTTAGGGTATAAATATCTTTACCCATAACTTATAAGGAAATAATTGTTCTTCAGTTGTTGAACCGTATAACAACGAAGAATAATTAAATGATCAACAACTCTATATTGAGATTGTCACCAATGAATAGATTGTAAAAGAATCATAAGGAATAACATTAAGACGATCTCAAAGAGAAAGGAGATCTGCTATTCCTAATGACTATGTGATATATTTGTAAGAATCTGATTTTGATATATAGTAAAATATATACGGATCCGGTTACATATTCACAAGCCATTAACAGTAATGATTTAACTAAATGGATTAGTGTCATGAATGAAGAGATCATAAAGAAACCTTCTCTCTAGTATTTAAGAAGGAATGTTTTAAAATATCATGGCATTAGTAGCTTATTATGATTTAGAATTACATCAAATGGATGTGAATACAATTTTTATGAATAGGAGTTTATAAGAAGAAGTCTATATGGAACAACTTGAAGACTTCATATTATAGGGTAAAGAATTCATGGTCCGTAAACTTAAGATGTCAATATATGGATTTAAACAAGCTTCCTAACAATGGTATATTAAGTTTAATGATACCATTATTTCTTTTGGTTTTAAGAAAAACACTGTTGATCAATGTATATACTAGAAGGTTAGTGGGAGTAAGTTTATATTTCTGATTCTATATATTGATGATATTTTATTTGTTAGTAGTAATCTTAGTTTATTATATGAAACTAAAAGTTATCTCTAAGAACTTTGAAATGAAATATATGGATGAGGTATCCTATGTGATAGGAATAGAAATATTTCATTATAGATCATATTGATTTGTTTTTATAATTGTCTCATAAAGCATATATTAAATGAGTTCTAGAAGATTTGGTTGGAGGAACAATATTATGAAAAAGTGCAAAGTAATTTATGATTACTTTGTCTATTAGGAAATTTTAATTTGTAGCATGCTTTAAGGCTATAATTTATGGTTGCAGAATTTATTTCAGGACTTGGAGTTATGGGTACCGTTTTCAGATTGCTGAAAATTTATGCTGCAATTGTTGATCTTCTTGTATGAAAAATGATAGGTATTCTAAAGTTGAAATACTTTATCATCAAAGAAGATATTTAGAAACAACGAATGTCAATTGAAATTATAAGTACACAACTTATGATTGCAATCCATTAATGAATAGACTACCATCCAAGACATTTATGGAACATGTTGAAAGAATGGGTCTTAAATGTAGTCAATGATGATTATTTTTTAATTGTGGATTGCTTAAATATTGCTTATATATATTTGACATTTTGCGCTGATTAAATGTGTTTCTGATATTTCCTATTAATTAATGTACATATACGTATTGCTTTAATAAGTGGTAATAGGAATAGTCTTGGAAAAGACATTATTGTTAGATCATTATTGATACTTCTCATTTATAGACTATGTTGAATAGATTACTAGTGTTGTGGTACATGGAATGGACTGTGTCATTTAAGGATATATAACCGCCATGACTCGCATTGGTAATTTATTTACCATGATATTTATGATGACCAATTTAATGAGTTAATCTGATTTGTGGTGCACATTAATGACTATTTTACTAAACCACTACAGAAATTATCATATGTGCCAAGTGGGAGAATGTAAGATTATTTATTTAATTGTGACCCACATGATTTGGACATGTGACATATTACTTGGTGGGTAAGTAAATAGATATCAATTAATATTATTTATTTTTTGTCAACTTATAATTACCTTTTTGGTAATTACTTATTGGAGAAGTGTTTTCCTTTCTTATTTCTTACTATAAGGAAAACTGGTCCTCTCTCGGCCTTTATAAAAGTGCATATACTCCATCAATTATGTACAATTAATAAAACAACACGTAAAAGTTTTGTGTGTGCAAAAGGCCAAAAGAGAGAAACCAGTTTCCACCTTTGCCTGTTGATCAGAGTCGCAGATTAGTTCATAGCCAAAGGATCTGGACGTTGAACTTAATCTCAACAAGAATTGATATCGTGAATCGAGGTATTTATATCTAACTAGTATTTATTTATACATTATAGATATGTGAAAATCATGAATTCTAAAATATGGGATTCATGTAAATTTGTGATTAATGGCTTAACACGAATTATTATAGTTTACATATCGATCCCGGAGGTGCAGATCCATAATAGGCATATAAAAATTATTGTACTTCAAATAACATCAAAAGTCTTGGTTTCATCAAAAGTCTTGGTTTCAAAGATGGAATGTCTAATGTTTTTTCACCCGGAGAACTAATTGGATTGTTGCGAGTGGAACGTATGGGGCGTGCTTTGGAAGAAGCGGTCTGTTACCCAGCCATCTTGTTGGGAATGAATAAAAATAAAATATGGCAAGGAAAGAGCTTATAAATTGTTTGTTAATGGAGTAACATGCTTGACCCTTAATTTTATGCAGTCTAGTACATTTCCTGGAATTTAAATGAGGAAAAAGAAATTAAATTATTTCTGCTTCTTCAACTTCACATGAACTTTTTCAAGGATTTCGCCACCATCTTCTGAAGAGATTTCCTCTGGTTCATCGGGGACATCATTTGGAACATTATGTTTGGTAATGAAGTCCTTCAGTACGCTCATGCTCTCTTCCTTCAGTGAAACCAATTGCTCAGAAAGAATTCCTTTGTTTGCATGAACAGGTTATGCTTCTGATGCAAGGAAAAATGTAGCTTTAACCCGGGTGCCAGGAGTAGCATTCTCACAAGATTGAGCCTCCATCATATATCCAGAACCCCTGCAGCATATCATTCAAAATTCAACTCTAACTTCAATAAACTATTTGCTCGCCCAAGCCCACCTTTCTCTAGCATGGACTGACTAAGTTAAAAGATATTATAAGCAAGACAACAATTGAGTTAAACCCATTCGTTAACTAGATTACGAGAAATTTTAATATAAATAGTCTAACCCAAAAGCTAAATTCAAGATTTCCTTTTCCCATTTTCTTGTGTAATATTTAGAAGGGTTGAGTTTATCTTATAGGCAGTAATCTTTTATAAACAGAAAGTGGGTCACCAGATACAATGAAGTAGTTCTGTGAGGTTTCAAGTATCAACATTTATGGACAATAAAGTTAACATCATACTATACACAAATTGCCAGATAATATTTCAACTTAAATATAATTTGAGTGAAAACATTTGGATTTGTTTGTGGTCACAGTCAAGTCCAGGTTCTTGGGAAAGAGGTACGCAATGCAATGCACAAACTTATCTTATTATTTTAAAATTAACGGTGTGTGATAGAGATCAATGGCAACAATCTTTGAAAGTGTATATGAACTTGGTGGGCATCATGATGCAATGAAAACTGGGTTTTATTTATGCCATTAAGATATGAATTATGAATTTGACAGGTTGTGAGACTTATTGATGACCTCAATTATGAAGAAAGTTCAAAAGTCATGAGTTAAGATCCACCTAAGTCTAATAGGCATGAATAGAATCCTATAAAAGGAAGGGATGGGGTTGATCAGTGAATGAATGAATAAATAATAGTGTATGAAATTTCATTGGGAGTGATTCACAAAATATGAGGGTGGAAGACCTTCTCTAGGTGTGATGCCTAACCTACCTGTCAGCGTGACTCCAATGGGCTATTACTTTTTCTCATTGTTTGTTCTACACAGGGCCGGCTCTGAGATTCCAAATATTTTGAGAGGTCTTAGGCGAACTTCCACATGCGCAAAAAAAATTATAAGAGTGGAATTTTCACACGATGTTTTCAAATTTTACAGCTAATTTAATTGTGCGCATGTGCATTGTGCATAAGACAACTAACTAATAACTATAATCTTCATTCATTAAATCTTCATGTTCATTGACTAACTTCCTATGATCTTCATTCATTAAATCTTCATATTTATTGAGATTTTCTTCATTTGCATTCGCATTCATATGTTCTTCATTCACCGAATCTTCAACTAAACTCTCTATTTGTGTATTGCTCCTAAAAAACTTAAGATTATCTCCTTTCTGAGATTGAATCAATTCTTCTTCTCACTTCTTTTTTTTCCTTTTTTCATGCCCAAATTCAAATTTTCTTGCAGACATAATGAAATCTCTTGAAATCTAAATCACATGAACCATAATCAACATAAAACTAGACTTAAAAAAAATAATAATAATAATTTGCTTTGTTTAAAGAAAATATATATTACCTCAATATGCAATGATTTGATTCAAGTTCAAGGCAAATAACCTCACGAGATCCTAAGAAGAGTGTCCTGCTAGCATGTGAAAGAAGATCACAATTAACATAAAACGGAAGGAGAATCAAACAGAAACAATAATAACTAAGCATTGCCGATCATACAATAAATATAATAAATAAATAAATAAAATCAAAAATCAAACGGTTTGGTCGAATGATCTCCTGGCTGGAGTTTTCACTAGAATCTGGAGGAGAGGAGAGAAGACAAAACAGAGTATCCAAAATACAGTCCAAAAGTGGGAATGGGGAACAGAAAACTGCGGCTTCTTTTTTACATTCGTTGTTTATATAGCTGCTAAAATTTGATGACTACAGATGACAAAAATATGTTGAGATGAGGTGACTATATATATAGGAGGCTGAACTTGTAGTGCTGGAGAAGTAGTGGGACTTTTAGGTTATAGGTGGCATCCACTATCATATATAGTTTTGCCTTTCACTCTTTATATTAACTACACTTTGTGTGTGTGTTTTTTGGGAGCCAATTACCCCTTTCTTGATCTCAGGATGAGGAATCAACTTTAGTAGCAGTGACTGATTGATCATTGCTACAGAAGACCTGTGCAAATTCATAGAAAAAACCATTAACTTTTGTTTTATTAAAGCCTGCTCTTGATTTCCATGTGTTTGTACATTCTGATGGCAAGTGCTTTGACAGTATTATTAACTGAAATTCTAGCTCAGCCAACTTCAAATAACATCAACAATGGTGGCATGTATCTTCATATAAAAATAAAATATTAAAAAACCCTTAATTTGGCACTTTTAAGTATGAGCATAATTTAGAGATCGAAAAAGTTCATTATTACCTCAAAGGCTCAACCCACTAGAAGGGATCCTTAATTTTCGTAGGATTGAATGTGAAAATGCAAAAACTTATGAGGAAAAGGGGTATGATTGCTGCTCTTGTGAGATTGGAGTGGAATTAGGGAGAGGAAAAAAAAAAAATAAAAAAAAAGTACCTGCCATAGATTATGGACTCGATCGCCATGAAAGACACATGTAGAAAGGCACACATCTATTAAAATACTAAGAGAACCATAATATATTCATTCAGCTTTTGATAGCCATCACACAGTGACACACACACACAAAAAAAACCCTAGTTTGGAAGCTACTTTTCACTATTGGAACAAAGGTAAAGGCCCGAATCAAACAAATCAAATGATGAGATGAACGAAAGAAAGAAACACATAAAAAAGATCGATTCATGCAAAAGGAGAGAGAAGACAGAGAGAGAGGATGAACATACCTAATCACCTGAGGCGACAGCCCTGCGGAGTGTCGAAGCAGATTGTGTCGTCTGAAACTTGCCCTAACCCCTTTTTTTTTTTTTTTTTTTTTTTTTTTTTGCCCTATAGGCCTCTAAATTTGACGCCTTTAAAATTTGAGGCCCAATCCAGACGTGTCCTAACTTAATTTTTTTTTTTTTATCATCCCCTATGGTCATTTTTCGTGTTGGTTTACCCTTTAAACCAATTAGTTAATGTTTGGCGCACTCGTACACTGATGGACTGGAAAACTCGCTCTCACTTGGCTTGTTTATAACAATAGTACTATTATCGGTACAAAATATAAGCCTAATTTTAATCAATCTGAAAATGATAGATTCAAAGTTATGGATCAATTTTCAACAGTTTATATTGCATACTTGGTTTACAAAAAAAAATATTTATATTAAAATAATGAATCACAAATAACAGTTTATTTGTTACAAGTCAACTGAATTTTTTAACGTACATTAGTATAACATATTTTATCATCACTCTACTTTTAAAATAAAAGTTACATTCTCGATTCATTTGATTTAAAAATAATCGTGCAGTTACAGCTAAAGCTTTAGCGGTGAGGATGTGAATAGTCTTATATAATGCGTCAATTGAATCAGAATGTAGTTATTTATTTATTATTTTTATTTTTATTTTAAGGAGTATTCATTTGCAAGAATATGTAATAAATCAAAGGTGTAGACCACACGTAATTTTTTACAAATTTTGACAGATTATTGTGTCAATTTCACATAGTGCAATGATTTATTTAGGGAAAATACATTACTGGCCTAAGCTACATTAAGAAAGTAATATAGCTTTGGACGTAATTTTTTGCAAATTTTGACAGATTATTGTGTAAATTTCACATAGGGCAATGATTTATTTAGGGAAAATACATTACTGGCCTAAGCTACAATGAGAAAGTAATATAGTTTTGGTCATGGACGACTTCTGCGTGACTCAGATTATTGAGCCAATTTTATTTTATTTTATTTTATTTTATCAATTCTAATTTCATGCCCTTAGCAATTACATACTACTGCTTTTTTGAATTTTGAATCAAAACAGTCGATGTATTCTTTTCCTTTTCCCTCTTTTGGCTGACATGTGTACATAACTAATAGTCCTTAGAGCATCTTCAACAGTTGTGTATATTTTTTTGTGTAAATTTGATGTGTCATGGTGGATTTACACAAAAAGTTTAAATTATTTAATTTGAGCTCCAACGGTTGTTTTATACCTTTTGTGTAAAAATATATCTTCCAATAATAACTAGCCGTGTGTCATGCCAGGACTCTACATAATTTTTACAAACCTACTTAATATATAGTTAATTCTTTAATGGAATGAGAAAGAGGGATAAGAAATGAAATATGTTGACCTGACAATGTAAAAAAGGATACACAACCCTTTTACACATTAGTGATGTGGCATTGTATGTTAAAAGACTGCTGGAGATGGAAAAAATTTACACATCATAAGTGACAGTTTATATTTTACACAAAATGATATTTTAACAAACCGCTGAAGATGCTCTTGGGCTTTACAACATGGCATCTCCTCTTACTTGTTGCCACGGGTTATAATAAAGCTGGCACATACCATTAATAACTATCCCCTCATCAATCAAAGTTATTGATTAAAGCAAGGATCAATATGTAATTTCAAATAATTCTGGATCATTTGATTTGGCACCTGGTGAATTAACTCTAACTCATACCGTCATTGAGATTTCTTTGTAATATATCTTTAACCGAATCACGTGGCGTTTCAATTTACTATGTGCATATCAGGTTCAGATCTCAGCCTGTTAAACCACAAGGCAAGCAAATAATTGCACCTTTACAGACATGTAATATACAAGAGTATAGTAAGCAAAATTTAACAAATGGCCACGACCCAATACTGGAACATGCTTTGGTATCTCCCATCCCACATTTGAAAACAAAAGATAAATATAGACATGTATATGATTGAACATGTACAATTGTCCATTTCTTCAAGTATATGATTCTTCTATGTCATCCATAGTTTCATACAAGGAAGGAGAAAACTTAGATGTCTCAATCAGATAGAAAGTGTACCAATTATTGTGATCAAGCCCACATCTATATATCTAATAATTCTTGTTTTTTTGTTTATAATGTCTAACTAGGTGAGGAAGGATAAATTAGGTGATAAAAAAACAGTCCTTGACCAGCTAGTTTCTCCTTTTGGAAAGGTAACTATGCAATTAGAAAGCCTCATACCTTAGATTGAGGGTACACTTGTGAAATAATAAGGATAAAGAATCTCTTTACAATTATGAAAGTTCTCTTTCTTCTTCAAATTTTATATAATCTCTAAACATTAAAGAAGACATGATGCATGACTAATTACTTTGGAGGATTTTTTCCCTCCCTCCCTCCCTCTCCCTCTCACTCTCATACTGACATAGCTTATATCCTATCAGAAGCTATTGGGTACATTAGATCCCTTCAGAATCAAGTTGTTACTTGGACTCTCTTTGATTTTTTTTTTTTTTTTTTTTTTTTTTTTTTTTTTGTCTTGATCTTTGATAGTGTTATTTTCTTTTTCTTCCCTCAGGGTAGATGTAAAAGTCTCCAATTTTTTTGTCTTGATCTTCGATTTTTTTTTTTTTTTTTTTTTTTTTTTTTTTTTTTTCTGTGGTTGACGAAAAGAATTTGTATCCAATTTTTTGGGTTCCAAGAGCAACTACATCAGTGCTCTTTTAGGTAAAATTGGGCTAATTTTTGAAGATTGGATGCTCCAATAGACTATGGGAAAAGTGGGCTTCAAAGAATGACCCTTGATGAAGGTAGCTAGAAAGCAAGAGTGGGTTGGCGATTGGGCTCACTTTTTGTGGGGCCATTTTTGTTTTCTTTTATTTTTTAAATTCAGGCTAGAACACTATTTCTAAGCCCAAAACACTATTCCTAAGGGCATGTCTGGCTAAAATTAAAACTAAAATTCAGATTTTTAGCTTACTTTGGTTTCTTTTTTTTTTTTTCCTTAAAATAATTGAACCAAAGAGCCGTTAAGGCACTGTTTGGCTGACACAAACATTGCCTTGAAGGCTTTTTTAAGCAAAAAAAAAGTTTTAAAAAAATTAGAAAAAAGTGATTTTTTTTCATTTTTAAATTTTTTTTAATATTCTTATTGACATTATAGCCGTTAAAAATATAACTGTTAGGAAAAAGTTAAAAAATAAATTTTATTTTAAATTTTAAAAATATTAAAATATTAATATTTTTTTAGAACGAAAGTGCACCATTGGAGTACATATGATAGCTAAAATTTAGAGACTTTAAAATGCTGACGTGATTATAGAAAATGTTTATGTGGCTATTGAAAAATGCTGATGTGACAAATTCGGAGAGCCTAATTTTAGAGAGTCTATTGGAAATATAGTTTCCATTTAAAATCTATTTGATTGTTGGTCCTTATTACTCTATTAGAATTTTTTCTTATGAGCTATTGGTCAGGTCAGTGATTTGTCAAATTAAACTGTAATACACTAATAGTACCAAAATGTTACTTAAAGTCTGATTTCTTTACTTCGTAAATGAGTACGAGCCTATATTATAAATTAGAGTTGCTTATGACCAGCCCGGTTCTTCTAAAGTTCTCTCTTAAATTTGACGGGTAAAGTACAGCAACATCCCCTGATGTTTGCCAAAAGGACAGACGAATGAAACTTAGCCTATTTTGGGATAAAGACACCCCCTCAAGTTTGATACAACTACCAAAGACACCCCAATAGTAATGAACTGACATTTTTGCCCTTTGACTTTTATATTGACCAATTTAAATACTGAAATTACCTTTTTAACCTTTATATTTTTAGATATATATATATATATATATATATATATATATATATATATAATCTGTATATACACACATGAATAATCAACGGAGAAGACGACGCGTTCATTATGCAGAAAAGGTTCCGGCAAAGGGAGCCGACAAGGTGCGGTCACGGGCTTTTATCACAGCCATCGCTTCGCCGCCCCCCCCCCCCCCCCCCCGACCCACTGCCCATGGCCGACCACCAACCATCAACAACCACTATCAGTCTCTGTCTCTCTACTCACTTTTCTTTCTCTACATAATATACACAACAAATATATATATATATATATATATATATATATATATATATATATATATATATATATATATCACTTAATATCAGCCAGACATCCAATACTATTTAAGTGTTGGTGGATTGTAAGGTTCTGAAATGATCTGATTGAACCACCACCAGTATGGGTTATTGGAAAGATGGGTTTGATGATGTAAATCTCAATCTCAATCCGACCCCAATCAAACCTCTAAAACAATTGAAAATTTTGCTCCTCCTTTCACCAAACTCAACCACCCAGTTGTGTCTCCTGATTTCATTAGATGGGTTTCGAATTAGGTACCAATTCAAGACCCAGACGCCCAACATCTATCGCCTAATCAATAACGGGACCTCTGAATCAGTTAAAGACCAAATGGTTGGGTGTGGTGTTTCGGCTCATCGTCTTTGACCAAGTCATCGTCCTCGCTGTCGTTTTCTCTGCCGCAAGCGGTAGCGCCTCCTTCTCCAACTCCGTCTCCCGTGGTAACTTCCCTGACCTCCTCTCCGATTGCTTCTCAACTTGCTCCCCCAACCTCCGACGCTCCTGCTTCGTTTCCCTAGCTCCAATACGGGCCTCCATCATCGTTCTCTTTAGCTCCAGGAGAATCTCTGTCATCGACTCCCAATGGTGCTGTAACGACCCGTGTTTTTCAACCCAATACGTTAGTGATGAACTGAAAGTTGATCCGATAACGAATCCGAAATGCGGAAGCAAAAGATGAAACCAAAGTCTATAGAGATAAAAATCATCCCTAAGACACCAATGTGACCTTCCATGAAGTCACGGAATTCAAAGAAAGCAAAAGCATAAAACAAAGGTCAAAACAGGCAAAATTTGTTATGAAGGGCAAAATGGTCCATTCACAATTAAGATGAGAAACTTGACTCTAAACAAGTCAAACAAGGTGAATACAACCTAATCTAATCATTTCACAATATTCTAAGAGGTTCTAAGAATATTGGACAAGAACCCCACAAAATGCCCTTTCTCGGTTTAAGCGAAAACTGACCCTACCTTACTAAAACATGAATAACTTCCACTGTGATTGGAATCTGAGAATGGCA